GAGCCCCAGCAATCTTATTATTATTGCTCCCTAACCATGTGGGAGAGACTGCCCACTTTGCCTCCGCTCCCCTAATTAATGTTCTTCTAATCCATACTTTATCACTAATTTTATGCCCCAAAAATCTCCCTATATCTCAGGCTTTTCTACCATAAATTGCCACCGCATCATGACACCCATGCATCTTCTTTGATAGAGGAAAATATATAATTATATGACTCGGCTTGTAGTTTATAAATGTGGTCTTATAATTAGAATTAGTAGGAGGATATATGTAGGTTGATTCTGATTCACATAATTTGATTCTGCTCCATAAATTAATGTTGGAAAGGATCAATCAATTGACATGGCCCGGCCATTAATAGGAGTAGCAACTCTTGTTGAACGGCCCCTCCTTCTGAATTGAAAAAATTGGGAGACTCTTTTCCCAAGTTGGCAATACGGGTCTATACGAGGCAGGTCCGTAAGGTTGCATCATCCTTGGCAGTTATTTTTTTTGGCCCCAAAAAAAAAAAAGGACCGATTTGATATAGAGAAGTAGAACCAACACGAAAGTCATCAGTTTTGAATATTTCAATAGTCAGGGGCACTAGTGCGTTTATTTTCTGAAGTAGTTCCCGTAAATTCAAGGGTATCATGCCAGATTCTGGCTGAGCTAAGAAGAATGGGTTTTCTTTTGATGAATCTGGTACATGTATGCTTTGCATGATATGCATAGATACATACACGTATGTATGCATTTGTGAAAGATTTTCTAGAAACAGGCAAGATGCGAAGGTATAGATGGTTAAAAAGTGAAGAATCTTGAAAGGTGTTGCTCCCCAGTTCCGGGGTTTGGGACCTTGGCTTTTGTTCAAAGTCAGAACTCAGAAGAGGCATGATGAGTTTTTTTTTTTTTTTTAAATTTATTGCAACGACAAGTATTTCTTTATTACATGTTTTGATAATTAAAAATTAATATTGGCAGACCGGAGGATTGATATTTTGGTTTTGCCGTCCTTTTTGGTTGCTTCTCATTCTATTATTGGTCTACATTATTCATTGAATATATTGTTTTCTATGCGTGTTTGTTTCAACTTCTCAGAGGTAGTATTTTTACCTAAATCAACACAAAACTCTACTCATATAAAAAAGCTAATCAATATAGAACTTTTTTTTCGTGATAGATATAAGACATCAATTTATTTTGTCTCCTAAATTCTTTTTTTCTTTTTACCGGATTCTCCTTAATGCATGTTAAGGGATATTTAAAGAAAGACAGTTTTTGATGCAAATAACTGGAAAATAATTTCTTTAATATTTACAAATTAGTTAACTGGTTTTTATATTTATAAACGGAAGTAATAAGTTTAAAAGTAAAATAAAAATGTGAGCAAGCTCACTTTTTCCTAATTTATAAACAGCATAACTCGTTATAAATTTGATATCATATATTTATTGATTGGTGGATGGTATTATTGCAAAAGATTTAAAGTGTCATTTGGTAAACAACTTCCCTATTTTAGACATTACACAACAGTGAGGATAAAAAGGGAAAAAAAAGAAACAGAGTTGGTGCCCAATTTCTTTATTTAATTATGCACTTTGTGACTTGGTACCCCTCCAATTTAGTTACCTGCCATGTATGCACCCTACACACATGAAATTGTTGGCCTAACATTGGCTCATCTTTCCCTATTTATGAAAATCAGAACACCGTCTCTTTCATCTCTACGCTGGTTGGCTGCATGTCTTTTTCTCATTAACTTCGCCTTTTATTCTAATTACCCATTCTCCCCATACGCACGCAAACAAAATAATACATCGTTACTTAACCTTCTCTACTTGTATTCTCATTAAAGCATTTACCGTGGTGCGTGGAAATTTCAGAAGCTTGCCCCCATTCCCCAAATCATTATTATGCATTATTATCAAACTATAACGTGGCTGAGACAAGCCCTTTCATCAACTTGCCTCTTGCTTGCAACCTGTTGGGCTCCCCAAACTTCCAAGGGTAAATCAATATTCCATTGATGTCAAGAGACATATAATTACCAATAAGAGTTGGGTCTGGCAGAAATGGTTAGTCTCCCATAACGTGGTGAATCAAGATTCGAATCCCCGTTGGGAGAAGTGTCCACATTTAGTGCCCAACAGTGTCTCAAATAGGATTGCTTCCAAGAGAAGGACACTTATACTTTAGCAAAAAAAGAGACATGTAATTTACACCATTAAAAAAGATAGACAACTAACAAGACGATAAGAAATGGGCTCATAATCTATACTGCAATGTGAGAAATTTATTGATGCTTGATTTGTTAGTACACTACATTTATAGGTACCTTTATGAGTCTGGATATATATCTTAACCTTAATAAATTTTTGAAATCCAATTAATTTAAACTTGCATGTAATAAAAAATAAAACTGAGAACAAGCTAAGAAACACTGTGAGAGGAAACTTGCGTGTTTAGACTTTAGACCCCAAAAAAATGAAATACTTGGGCATTTGTGTCGGAATCAATCGGAGTCAATTGTTATCGTTGGAATTAAGAATCTCCCATTTCATATTGCATTTTTGTATTCGACATTTTCCCTCTGCCTTCTGCAGTTTCTCGCTCGCGTCATTTTTCCATTTTCCTCGTCCACCATTGACGGAAGATAATATACGTAGAGAACAGAGCGCGTGGTTCTTGTCGTGCATCTGCGTGCGTGGGTTTCACATCGCACTCTAGGGTTAGTGTGACTTTAAACTTAATTAGCAACTAGATTTTGCATTCACGCAATGTACATGATCTTGCCAATAAATAAGCTAACATCAACGTAAAATTTCTGTAAAACGAAGTGCGTTATATTTAAAATTACACAATTACTGAATTACCACGTCAAGATGGTTGGTTAAAATGATATTTTGATCTTATATGTAACTGGTAAATTTAGCATTCGTTTGTAATTAATTGGTAGTGATATTTTCCCAAGGTATTTATTTATAGTTTTTCTGATCAGCCAACCATCAAAACCAATGCTTAACGGAGGATCACCATTGCACATTTTTTTAATATTCTGATGGCAACATCATACGGCCTAATGGTTTAGCGTCCAGAAAATAATTTAAGGAAAAAAAAATCTCCTTAATCATGAAATAAATAAATCTTTATTGCTTTGACAAGTTAAGTAAGCAACTGACAAAGTCAGATGGTTGAGTTAAATTGGCAGACCAATGCAGTTGAATGAGTCCAACAAATCCGCCACCCCCTACCTCCACAGGGCCCCCTCTTCAATTTTCTTCATCTTCACCTTCCCTTGGCGTCTCTCCCACGCCCTTCCTTCCGTGGTCTCCCCGATTTTTGCTCAATTAAGTACTTTATAAACTTGATTCTTTTAATCTGCACACACATTAAAAATCGTAACAGATCACTTTATTTATATGGAAAATAACACTGAAAATTGTAATCTTAAAAAGTCAAAATCTCAAAAAGCTAGTGATATCTCATCTCGTATTTTGTAAATATAACTAAATAACAAAAATAACTCTGCATCGAAAAAAATTTATTAACAAGTTAATAGATATTGAACAATCATGATAAGAAATATACTGATAATAATAAATTTGATAACATTTTAAAAAAAACTTGATACAAGAGCAGTTTACTCATTTGACTATGGGAGTGTTTGGAAACGTTTAGAAATGCTTTTGAAAAGTACTTTTCTGCAAATCAAGATAAACTCCTTTACATATTTGCTTTATAGACCGTAAAATCACTTCTGAAACCATGGTTTGGTTGCAATCCGAACACCCCATATATTTGTAGAATACCAAATTAGACACTGCTTTTTCCTATAAAATTTTGACCTTTGAGATGTTTAAACTGAAATATTATACTCTTCACGTTCTTAATATATGATCTAATTATTGAATTGATTTTGATAAAAAATATAAGATTTATTTCTTATATTTATTAATTTTTTCTAAATTACCTTTCAACCATAATCAAGTGAAAAAAGAAGGGAGGATATTAAGGAAGATGGTTATGGTATTTAAAAAAAGTCATATTTCTTATAATTAACTAATTTATCTAATTTTTTTTAATCTAATCAAATTAGTTCAATATGTTTTATGGATAATTTTTAACCTCTTTCATTTTTTCTTATTTATAAGACAAACAATTTACCTCTTTTTAAACTTGTACGATACATGGAATGCACAGTATTTTAATAAATGTACACACGACTTTTGCTCCTCAACCTAAACTCAGTCACTGGTATTTAAAATTCCGTACTTATAATTTTCCCATAAAAGTATAAAATTACATTCACATGCCCCAAACCACCCGGCTAATTTTGTTCACTTGCCCGCCTCATGAACACACATTCTCTTATTTTGGGCAAAATATCAGTAATTTAGCACGTGAACTGTATCTGTGAGGAAGTTTTAAGTTAATTTCGTTGGCCTGAGAATTGTGAAGTAGAAGTATTTAGAAAAAAGGTGGATTAAAGCAATAAAGCACAGCCACCAATTGGCGGGAAGCGTACGCGGAGAACGTAAATGACCGGGGGTTTCAGAGAGGGACACAGCGGTTATTTCCATAAAACTTCAAGGCAGATTGGAGAAAGCATGTGGGAAAGTCATACGTAGTTCGGTAGTTGGCATGTTGTTTTGACTCAGAGATATATGTGGGCATCTCGTACGTTTGCGCTCAGTGTTTTCATAAATAATCTCATACTTGGCAGCCTTTGCGTCTCCCTTGCCGAAGCTGTTCCCTCAACGTCCTTTTGTGCAGTTCATCTCGCTTCAGCCGTTCGATCAGAATCCATACCACTCCCTCAATTACTTCTTCATCAAACCCTTCTTTAACTATAGTTGAGTTAGTTAACCCCGATTTCGTAATTCCTTAACACCCCCGGTCTTTTCCCGCTATTACCCTTAACCCTCTTCCGCGGGCAGCTATATAAACAGCCTCCGAGACTCGCTAGGTTTGCCAAACCAACTTCCCTCAAGGGGTCTTTGAGGAACAAGATATTTTATCATCCCTCTTCTGTTACTTCTGTTTCCTTTTTGAAAATTTCGCTTTCTTTTATTTCTTCTTCCCGGAAAATGGCTGCCTCGTCTTCCAGAACAAGATCAAGCGGACCAGTGCTTCGCTCGCTCTCACCCTCTGGAAGATTCTGCTCTTACTCCACCTCAAACATTCCCTTTTCTTCACCATCATATGCTTTCGCTTCTTCTTCAGGCTCCAGTTTCTCATCTCCCTGTTCCACTTTCTTCACGGAACCCCAACACCATCACCATCACACGCATCATCGCTCCGCTTCTCCTACGCAGGTCAATTTGTATAGCTCTACGCCACCGTCTTCCGCCGTCAAATTCTCAATTGATCGACGCTCCGTCTCTCCCAATCGATCCATCTCCAACCATGTCATCGGTAGGAAGAACCATCCCATCTCTTTCCAGAAGAAGACCTGTATGTGCGCGCCAACGTCACATCCTGGTTCGTTTAGATGCAGCCTTCATAGGAATATGCCGAATCATAACAGCAGCAATCACGCCTACTCATACCCCTCCAATCGGCTGAACATGCGCAGATCGGCGATGAAGAACTCCTTGGTGAGAATAGGAGGGGTTGAAGGTGAGTGGGTTAAGAGAGCACTGACCGCTTTGATTCGACCTTCGTCTCATCAGCTTAGGAGGAGAGCGGCGTTCGAGCCCCGGCCCAGTCGTCTTTCGATCATGTCCAAGGCAGAGGATATCTGATATTCACCTTGACAGGTTTACTCGTGTTTTTCTGCATTGAGGTACGCCGCCAGAGATGGAATTCTGCGAAGCTGTTAAGATGGCGAGAGATTTGCAGCGCGTCCCCTCCGGCGAGTTTTGCTTTCGTCGTCTGGAGCATTGTCGGTTCAAGTCAACGTTCGGGGTCGTTGCCGGAATCCGTGAAAGGTTCCGTAGTAGAACTTTGAGCCTGGACCCAGATAGATCCTTTATGTACATACCATTAGCTATGGAAGGAGTTTAATGGACTCTATATTTTCCCTAAATCATAATTCGAATAAAACATAAGTCGCATATCGGTTAACTTGGGATCAATTTTTCGACCCCAATAATTAAAACTGAAACCTAGAAAGATTTTTGGTATGATAAGATTATAAACTTCTTTCGTGAATGGCGTGATCCATCCCGTTATTTTTTGCAGCATAGCGGTTCGGTTATGTTTGCCGTTCTATCTGGTGGCGCTGTTGCCGGTATTCCGTGTCGCCATTGACTCTCCGTCGCGTTCTGGTGCTCTTTAGGTATGCGCTCTCTTTCATTTCTTTTTTCATTTTAAAATTTGTCTTGGAATTGTTTAATTCTTCAATTGCATTTCGTTTTTCTTAGCTAGAGGGTGCTGCGGCTGGAGATGGGCTTCGTGTTTGCCACGGGAGATGGATTCCATCTGTTGGTCACCTTGAAGGCGACATCTTACAACTTAGCTTTAAAAAAATGTGTAAAGAACGAAATCAAATCAAAGATTATTAGGGGATCGAATTAATGATGGAATCACGGCAAAATGAAGAAAAGAAGTGTAATGTAATGATTTAAAATGTAAATTGGCCCTTCAGGGAAAAGGAATTCAAACTCGGGAGGGAATATCAGGTCAAAAACTTGGGAGGGAATAATAAATTGAGAAGATTCGAGTGGTAAGTTGAAGGGGAGGGACATGACCAAGAGACCGAGCCCGCTGGCCATTGTGGCTTGATTAGTGAAGACGATGGAAAAGCATTTTAACCCAGTGTGAGAAAATAATGCAGTGACTCGGACGAAAAATGTGCATGAAATTGAAACCGGGACATCGTCGGGTCAGAGTTCAGACCAAAACATAATAAAAAAAAAGAATATTCTGTCTTGATATTCTCACGTCTTAAGATTTAGTTAATTAATTCATGTACACTAAAAAATTGGTCTAGGAGATTGAATCATTGATTAAGTTAATTATTTAGTGGCATTATTTTGTAAGAAATTGTACTTTTTTAAAAAAACAAATTTAAACGAGGGTGTCAGATGTAGAAGATAGATAGAGGCAAAAACCAAAATTAGGGAGTAAAATGACAAAAATGTTAGAAAGATGAAGATAAAACGAATTAGCATTGTACTCCGTGAAGTTTTCTTTTAGATGCAAGGTTGTGAATTGTGATTTTGAGAAATCGATAAAAGAAAAGGTGGATACGTAACTCACGGGGAAAAATATATCATACAAGTCGTATATTTGCTATCTAGCAACGAATTGGATGTGAATGGAATAGAGATGGGAAGTGGTTCGAATTTAGGGGGAAAGTCAAGTAGACGAAATTGAGAAGGGGACGGTGAAGGGTAGGGTGGTGAAATGGGGAAAGAGACGTGTGTTGGATCACACGCTTGTGGCCACTCAATTTTGCGAGGGGAAAGCGGCGGGGGACGTGTGGCGCTGTGAATGAAAAAGGTAGACCCATGAATGAATGAGCCGACCTTGAAGAATGAGACAAGAAGAATGGTCTCGTCCTCATCCTCCTATTCCCCCTGTCAAATGCCTAGGCCTGGGTTTGGCCCCTGCTTGTCTCCCGTACGCAAAGGCATCATAAAATCCCAATCCCGCGCAGGAATTTCCCCATCAATTTCTGGAATTCTGGAGAGGCTTATTCAGGAATGTAGATCTCTCAAAACAATTATAATATTGTGAGACAATGGCTGCCAAACAAATTAACATATATAAACTATTCACCGAGGGAGGGAAAGACAGGCATGAAGAGTGACAAGGAAGGAAGAATTTTTAAGGAGAGGCGGCGACGAGTAAGGCAGGTGCATATTATTGTGGTCCTTCCGTTCATGAACCCACACACCCACCCCCTTATCCACTCCACCTCCTACACTCTTGTCTTCCTTGGTTCTGTCTATCCCGACTCCCTTATTTTATTCTCGGTGCTGTATTTGAGTCTCTGCCCCTGCTCTGCCTTAAATTAAAAACAGAAATCGGTCTGTGAGGTTCAGGTTCTGGTGATATTCTCCGTATCCACCGACTCACGGGACAACCAACCAACGTGACCATGTGGCAGCAATGCATTTTGGAGTACATGATTTGTGGGCCATTTTCGGCCATCATCCTTATTTTCTTTTATTGTTCAGCGTATCCTTATTGTGGCCCCCGAAAAAAAAAAGGCCCCCTCTTCTTAAACCATATTGGGCTTCCATTTTTTCGGCTTTCAGGTCTGCACAATTGCAAATCCCGTCACCAGGACTAACTCACCCAAACTTTTTGAGAAAAAAAAAAAGCAAATTCCATCCTCAACAGTGAGATTCCAACTTCAGTGCTTCATCACTACACACGTGCCTCTAAAACAAGAATGACGCCTCTCCACTGCGGGTCACAAAAAGCAGAGAGCATGATGCGGACGGTTGAGTTACAGCGTTAATTCGTGGTAGTGAAATAACCGAGGGAAAGCGACAGGGACAGAAGTGTGAATAATGACCAACCTTTGCCCTTGTCGTGGTATTATCCACTCCTGGCCGGTTTCCTCAGGGCAGCTAAAGGGTAATATGCTAACAACGTAGCAGCACCCAAGGATTCCAAACTCCTCTTGAATTGGATGCTGTTTGCTCCTGCCGACAGGAATCAGATATGGCAGAGGTTCGTGAAGTGAATAATTTCTGATGGTGGCCATCTTAAAGGCTGAGGCTTGGAAACGTGACGTTGGAGGACTTCAAAAACATGCTGGCCTTTTATGTTTGCGGAAAAGAGATCTACAGGGAGGGCAGCATATTCCTAGGTTTGGAATCCATTTTATATTTTCCGCACATATTTGCATATATTATTAAGTTTATCCTGTATTATTGCGATTTTTTTTTTTACTATTTTTGTATTTCCTTGCATCATTCAAATTGTTCATCGGGTTACCGTATGTATATATGGTTCACCCGCTTAACATTTGATCATTAGCAAATGCAAATAAAAGAATGATCCCACGGGTGTAGAATTCTCACCATGCATCTTATGAAAACACTTAGGATTATGAAATGTTTAATGTTGCCATTTTGAATATAAAGGATGAAAATATTAAATGAAAATTCATGTTTTCATCGCCTACTTGCCGCATATTCTAAGAAGAACCCGCTATTCCTGTCACTAGAACCGGCAATATGGGTTGGACCCACAGGTCGAACCTGTTAACCTGTTAAAAGAGGTGGATTAGGGTTGGTTGTTGGCTAACCATCCATCACCTAAAAAATATGAGCCCGCACTATTACAACCCGAGCTTACAACGGGTCAGCCCGCGGGTTGGCAGGTCCTGCCTAAATTTTTTTTTTTAATATGTTAAAATATCAGGAGGTGGGCTGGAAAGGTAGGAAAAATTTATGTTTGAACTTGTATTTTATCCTATTTGGAGTTTGAACTTTGGACAATTGTATATTTTGTATTTTAATGTGTTATAATTTTGTTTAAATGCTTGGAATATTTCAAATCATTTCTGATTTTTTAAATTTTTAATTATTTATGAGAAAAAAATTTTAAAAAAATCTAACGAGTTGGTGGGTTAGAGTTGATAAAATACCAACTCGTCAAAAAACAGACTTTTTGAGCCCGACCCAAATAATCCACAGCCTGCCACAGGCCAACCCGTAACCCGCGGGTTGGCCTGTTCTACTAGCCCTACCTATCACTTATTTAGATGACAATATTAATAAACAAAAACTAGACTTCTGTTTAGCTTTGAACCAAAATTTTTTTGTTAAAATTAAAAAGTGGTTGACAAGAATATGTAAAATAAAATTAAAATTGAATACTACCTCTAGTCTTTAATACAACAGTTAGTTGATTAATTTGAGTAGATTCAGAAAACCAATTAAGTTATTTATTTGTAATAAATAGATGTAATCCTTACTGATAAAGTGTATTGGCCAAAACTAGTATTGTTATAAAAATTATTTAAAAAAATAGATAAATATGATAGATAAAAAGAATTAAACTCTTATATTTAAAATCAAAATAAAAATCAAATAAATTTTTATATTAAAAATTGGACATAGTATTAAACAATACCACACCAAAAATTAAAGGACCGGACACCACCATGGTTTTGTCTTTTACTCCTTCCCCATCGCTGTAGACCGGCCCTCCGGGAATCATTTTGGGACCCACTATTTTTTCTTGTTCTTTTGACCCCATTATGTTTTAAATTTAACAGCTAAATTGCAGTAAAAAAAACTGACAATTAAAAAGTAAGACATTTTAACCTGGGAAAAGCTTTTCCATGCTTTAAGCATTAAAAAACAAAACTTTCTATAGCTTGAAATTAAGAATCCTCTTTTCACCCAAAAAAAAAAAGAATACTCTATTGATTTGGGCATGTGTCTGTTGGGAAAGGTTAAAAAAATTTCTTATAAACACGTTTCATATAAATCTAGATAAAACTCCTCTTACATATTTATTTTATATTCTATAAATCACTATTAAAAAATAATTTATAAACTGTTCTAATCAGCCTGGTATCTGTAGATACTTTGTTTTTTCTCGTTTGTCTTCCGAGCACGCCGTCTGTCCTATTTGACATTTTCATTCTCAATCGTTTATAATCATTTATCATATCTATTTGTCCCTGCGGGGACATCCGATTTATGATATCTATTTTTTTCAGCCAATCAAATCTACTTATTATTATTTTAAAAACATGATATGGTTGTATATTAGGGAAATCACAAATAAAGACCCTCGAATTAGCAAAATCACTCTATAGTCACCTGAATATGTCAAATTACCATGAGGGACTCGGTCTCAAATTGCAATTAGCAAATCACACCTAAAAGACTAAAATACCCTTCAATTACTCAGATTCAATAACAAAGGTAGACATTAGTGAGAGACCTCTTCTTTCCTTCTTCTCCTCGGACTTCCTCTCCCTCTCTTCTTCTTTCTCTTTCTTCCTTGGGTCGAAGCAACATCTTCGTTGGGTCTCCTCCATGGCGAATGGTCTCATGAGGGGCAAAGAGGGCTTTCGAACTCCTTGCGTAGGATATTAGCAGGGAGAAGAGTCGGTGACGGAGGAATGGAAGATTTGGGACAATTTTCTGCAATTCTGAAACAAGGAGTGATTACGACCTTTTTGTTGAACAATGGCGATCAACCTTATGGATCGTTTTCTCTGTTAGCAAAGAAGAAGAAGGCTGAGTTCTTTAAGCTGTTGATAGAAGCTACAGGGTTCGCTGGTTTGAATATTTTAAAGATTTTAAAGATGGTCTAGTTGAATACTGTCTTCTTTTTGTTTACTTGTATCTGGAAATCGATAATCTTCTCATTTGATTTAGAGTTGCTGTTTGCTGTCAAAACACCTCTGGTTTTTGTTATTTGACTTACTATTGTTGTAATTTTACTTAGTAGTGTTGTAACTACAGAATGGTTAGTTTGATCACAATAACATGGCGTGACAATCTGAAAATGTCGGTATTTTGTTTATGGGCAGAGCAATGTTAACATTTAGTATTTATAGTTGTAAATGGTATCAATGTAGATCCATTTAATGTTCTGAAATTCATGACAGACCTCCTCATTGACTTATAATTTCACTTACCACAGTTGTTATTTGGCTTTCTACTCTTGTCAATTGATTTTCATAACTTGTCATTCGCCTTACTCAACTTGTCATAAATTACATATCAGAACTTGTCATCTGCTAAAGAAATCTGAAAATGTTGTCATTGGAAAAGAGAAAATTAATTTTTTATGAATTTCTTATCAGAAGTTGTCATTCGTCTTACTAAACTTATCATTCGTCTTACTCAACTTGTCACTCGCCAAAGAAATCTGGAAGTAAACGTGTTGAAGGGAATGTAACGATCACCATTGTTGTGATAATAGAAATGCAGTAACAAAAACAGAACTTGTTACATTACATCCACATTGGTGGACATTTTGAAGCAAGTGATGAAAGAGAAGTTAAATATATTGGAGGGAATGTAATGATCACTATTGTTGTAATTTTGCATGCTAGTGTTGTTAATGCAGACTTTTAACTATTATGACAACAATGCAATGATAGAAACACATGACAATATGATAATTATAGTCTTTTTATATTGTACAAAGGAATGTTAACATTTTTTGTTAATCATTTCTATATTGTAACAATATAGAGCTATTTAATGTTGTCCACTTAATTAGAAACGTGGTGACAGAAATACAACGATAGCAACACAAAAATTCTATCATTTGCCTTATTAAACTTGTTATCTACTAAAGAAATCTAAAAATTCTATCATTTGAACAAAAAAATTAAATTTGTATAAAATGCTTATTAGAAGTTGTCATTTACCTTACTAAAATTGTTATTTGCCTAACTAAACTTGTTATAAATTGCTTATCAAAACTTGTCATCTGCTAAATAAATCTAGAAATTGTCACTTGAAAAGAGAAAATTAAATTCATATGAAATGCTTATCAGAAGTTGTCATTCGTCTTACTAAACTTGTCATTTGCAAAGGAATTGTACAAATTGTCATTTTAACGTAGAATCTTAAATTCCTTTGAGTTGCTTATCAGAAGTTGTCATATACCTTACTAAACATCTTTGGCAAATGACAAGTTCAGTAAGACGAATGACAAATTTAGTAAGAAAAATGACGACTTATGATAAGCAATTCATAAAAATTTAATTTTCTCTTTTCAAATGACAGAATTTTCATATTTCTTTAGCAGATAACAAGTTCTGATATGTAATTTATGACAAGTTAAGTAAGGCGGATGACAAGTTGTGAAAATCAATTGACAAGAGTGGAAAGCCAAATAACAACTATGGTAAGTGAAATTATAAGTTAGTGAGGAGGGTTGTCATGAATTTCAGAACATTAAATGGATCTATATTGATACCATTTACAACTATAAATACTAAATGTTAATATTGCTCTACCCATAAACAAAATACCAACATTTTTAGATCGTTATGCCATGTTGTTGTGATCAAACTAACAAATCTGTGGTTACAACACTATTAAGTAAAATTATAACAATAGTAAGTCAAATGACAAAAAACCAGAGGTGTTTTGACAGCAACCAGAAACTCTAATCAAATGAGGAAATTATCGATTCCCACGTATAAGTAAATAAAAAGAAGACAGTATTCTCGACAATTGAACAACACTATATCAAAAACATCTCTGGAAATGAAAGTCAAAAGTCATCAACTAGCATTAATGATGGGTCACCATTTTTTTTGTAATAAAGATTGGTGAGAATGGCTACAACCTTAATCATATTGATGAATGCATAGGTAGGAGATGAATGTTTTTGAGAGGGAGAGGAATAGAAGGAAGAAGAGAGAGGGAGGGAGATGAAGAGGGAGAGAATGACGAAGACAGAGGGAAAGAAAAGAAGGAAAGAGAAAGAGATGGGGTGATGGAAGAAAGAGAATAAGGGCACTTTTGTCTTTTTAGTCTGATTTCATAATTACAATTTGAGACCGGGTCCCTCATGGTAATTTGGCATATTCAGGTGACCATATAGTGATTTTGCTAATTCGAGGGTCTTTATTTGTGATTTCCCCTTGTATATTTGTATTTTTCATTTTTTTATTATTTAGGAGTATTTATGCTTTAAAAAAAAGCTCATATCACAATATTTATGGTCAAATTTAGCCAGCAACTGGTTTCAATTTATTTGGACATTTTAACAATATACGTAGTGTTTACTTACTGTTACACGCGCCTTTGGGGCCAGGGGGACTTCTCTGTTCGTTTGCCAGCGTTGACTTGGATGAATGCAAACCCTAGCACAAAGACGGAGTACTTGGACATGCTTTCGCATTTATGCTCCAACCCAGACCTCCACTGACGCTTCCTCTTCTCCCTCCCTCTATTCAGTTTCCACCGATATACCACTTCCAAGCTTTTAATTTTATTGTGAAATTCTTCTTTGATTCTTTCTGGATTAGTCTGGCTGAATAGATTCAGACAACGGAGGAGCAAAAAAACAAAAAAAAACAGGCGCCAAGCTTGAGACAGAGTGTTGTTTCCCATCCCCCAAAAAACAATCGTTTTTTTTTTTTTGGTTTCTTTTCAATAACAAACTCCTGCCTCGTCATAAGTTCTTCTGCCTAAATCTTGATGGATTGAAGTGGTTCGGGGTTAGGATATAAGAATATCTGTTCCATTGTTTCGTTTACTTTTGATTCTGCTACTTTCTGTTATATAAAGTTTTGGGATTCCATATTTTTTTTTTCTGTGGAGGGGTTGTGCTTATTATTAGAATTGTTGGACTTTGATATTGGGGATACTTTCGTTTTGTTTGTTTGTTGTTAAACTATCAATGGGGAAGCCCACCGGTAAGAAGAAGGATCCTGTAACACATAAGGCTGCGCATGCAAGCGGCAAGCAGAGCAAGCCCTCTGAGAGGACTTCCAAAGCTTTCGACGAAGACACGGCAATCTTCATCAACATGTCACAGGATCTCAAGGAAGAAGGCAATAGACTCTTTCAGAAAAGGGATCATGAGGGGGCTGTGTTGAAGTATGAAAAGGCCCTCAAGCTCCTTCCCGGAAACCACATAGATGTGGCACACTTGCGTACCAATATGGCTGCGTGTTATATGCAACTCGGTCTTGGAGAATACCCTCGAGCAATCAATGAATGTAATCTAGCTCTTGAAGTATCACAAAGATATAGCAAGGCTCTATTGAGAAGAGCAAAGTGCTATGAAGCATTGAATCGATTCGATTATGCGCTCAGAGATGTTAATTTTGTTTTGACCGTGGAGCCTAATAATCTCAATGCATTGGAGATTCTTGGGAGTTTGAAAAAGACCATGGAAGAAAAAGGCATCACTATTGATGAGAAAGATTTGGCAAGTTTGGAGCAACCTACCGCTGCCCCTGTGAGCAAAGTGGTAAGAGAAAAAATAAAGAAAAAGAAAAGTAAAAAGAGTGAGAGCAAGGCAAAGGATAAGGTGATTCTTGAGGATACTGCGAATGCTGTTAAAGATAAAGAAGTGGTGTCAAAAACAATTGCGAAAAAGGAAGTGGTTCTGGAGCCTGTTAAAGAAGAAAAAGTAGTCACAAGGACGGCGAAGTTGGTATTTGGAGAGGATATAAGGTGGGCGCAGTTGCCATTGAATTGTAGCATGAGGTTGGTGAGGGATATAATTAAGGATCGATTTGCTGGATTGAAGGGTGTTCTTGTTAAATATAAGGATCAAGAGGGTGATTTGGTTACCATCACTACTACTGATGAATTAAGATTAGCTGAATCTTCAGGTGATGCCTTGGGTTCTCTTCGACTCTATATTACGGAAGTCAATCCAGAGAAGGAACCGACTTATGATGGAATAACCAATGGGGATGAGATGCCAGGTGATGGTATTGAGCATGCGCCAAAGGAAGCAGGCAAGGATTTGGCGAATAAGCTGACTAATGTGGAGGATTGGATAATCCAATTTGCTAGGATGTTCAAGAACCATGTTGGGTTTGATTCTGATTCATATTTGGATATGCATGAGGTGGGAATGAAGCTATATTCAGAAGCCTTGGAAGATGTGGTAACGAGTGACGATGCTCAAGAGCTTTTTGAAATCGCTGCAGATAAATTTCAAGAGATGGCGGCTTTGGCATTATTTAATTGGGGTAATGTTCACATGTCCAGGGCAAGGAGGCGTGTTTCCATTTCAGAGGATGGGTCAAAAGAATCTGCTCATGAGCGAATTAAAGCTGCATATGAGTGGGCAAGAAAGGAGTACAAGAAAGCAGAGATGAGATATGAAGAAGCCTTGAAAATGAAACCAGACTTCTATGAGGGATTTCTGGCACTTGGCCATCAGCAGTTCGAGCAAGCAAAGCTCTGCTGGTATTATGCATTGGCATGCAAAATGAATTTAGAGGATGGCCCTTCCAGTGAGGTTTTACAACTATATAACAAGGCAGAGGACAGCATGGATAGAGGCATGCTGATGTGGGAGGAGATTGAAGAGCAGCGTTTAAATGGACTATCCAAATTTGATAAATATAGAGCGCATTTGGAAAAAATGGGCTTAGATGGTCTTCTCAAGGATATTTCTTCTGATGAAGCTGCAGAGCAGGCTACAAATGTGAGGTCCCAAATATATATTTTATGGGGCACCATATTGTATGAGCGTTCTGTTGTGGAATATAAGATTGGCTTATCTTCATGGGAGGAATGTCTGGAGGTTGCTGTTGAGAAGTTTGAACTTGCCGGAGCTTCTCCAACAGATATAGGGGTCATGATAAAGAATCATTGTTCCAATCAAACAGCACTAGAAGGTATGGGATGTTGAAAATGATTGTGTATATTTCACCTGTTGTCCTTCAGGATTAGAAAATATAACTGACAATTTTCATAACCACAGGTTTGGGTTTCAAAATCGACGAGATAGTACAGGCGTGGAATGAAATGTATGATGCTCAGAGGTGGCAATTTGGTGTACCATCGTTTCGCCTTGAACCACTGTTCCGGCGGCGTGTTCCGAGACTTCATCACATCTTGGAGCATTTTTGAGTTTTCTTCAAGAGCTTGAAATTCTTTGGAGGCATATATTCATGCCTCTGTTTCTTAATATTTGTGATGGCTTTTTCATCCCATTTAAAACAGGTAAATTAGATTGTGCCTTTTGTTTCCCTTTTTCCTGACTTCGTGATTGTTCCAAAAAGGTATTTTGATGTGGCATTCATGAAAAGAGTAGATAATGATAGCTGAAATTATGTTTTCATGAACAATAGAATTTTTGGAAAGCGCTTTTCCTGTTCTGAAATATTTCTGTATATGCTTCTGGTAACCTCAATAGGATTTGTATTTCTGTTAAATTCCTGAAGTGAAAATCGCAGAATGCTTCTGGGAGATTACATTTCAATACTCACAAAGGTGCTGGAGAAAATCCCTGTAGAAGTTGCATAACTCTTCGTTTATGTGCATTGGCAATTAGGCAATTTGTGAATTGCCCATAAATCATAATGTAAACTTACTTGCATCCTGTTGATCTCAATCCTGTGAAACCTGTTTTGAAACTTGTGCTAGTGATTTTAAAATAGGGGTGTTGTCATGTCAAGGGTCTGACAAGATCCGGGTTAAATGGTTGCCTCTGGTTGCGGGAAAAGTTCAAACATGCTGTTTGTGATGTGATTTTTCACACAGCTATGAAAAGTTTGCAGTCTGCCAACTTGTTTAAGTTCGCAGGGCTTTCGTACGCTCATGGATTAATCGTCTCTCGAGACATCACTGTAAAAGCGTGTTATATCTGAAGTTTTGGGCATATATACTTTTGGCAATGCAAGGGGACATGTGTCGTTGCATTGTGTTGACCAACAACATTTGTGAGAACAATGTTGATGCTCTGTTTTCTTGGATGATAGAGAAACATAGTGAAACCATAGGTCTTGAGTTTGTGTGCTTTTCGATTGTACAGAGAATTTTTTTTCAATGTTTCAAGCAACATTTGAAACATGCTTGCTTTCCTTGTTTGGTGTTTTCAATTTCACCATTGTTAAAATCATGAGGGTGTACTGAATTGATGGATTTCTTGTCTTTTGATTGCAGGGGTATTTTTTACTCTCCCTTTTCCTCCCAAGACTGCTTTGTGTAGCCCAATGGTTGGAGCTATGCTTGTATTTTGTTTTGGTGTTGGTCGTGTGTTGTATTCTTGAGGAGGCTTGCTGCGAGGTTGCTATTCTTTATACATAGTTGGGAGTGATGGTGTGATGATTTCATTTGTCATTTTGAGATGGTGAATGATTTGATTTGGTCAGTTTGCTGCATAGTTGGAGTCAATATTGTTTTGTGAATTGTAACAATCCATGGGTGGTAGATGGCAGGATACGGTATTGTTTTTAAAGCATGGAAATAAATACTTTTCTTTCATTATAGTTGTCAATATCAATATAAAATATAATATTTATAATAAGCCATATTATTCAATGCTGTGGCGGGAATGCTGGAGGATAAGGCTTCTTAGCTAATGCTAACTCGATTTTTCTTATCTATTCTATTAATTTTTACTCTTCTGATCCTATTTATAAAGTATTTTCAGCATGTTTTACATAAATTAAGAAAAACTTTAAATTTCATTAACTCTTATTTAAAATTTAATGACTTTTTAACTTTATACCTATTTAATATACATTATGCCTCATATAAACAAAGTCAACACAATAATAAATGAGAGATAAAATTACATATTCATACAAAAAATTTCTCTCAATGTCTTATAAATAGGATCAAAAAATATTTTTTTTTGTTATATAAATAGAACAAGAGGAGTATATTTTAGCTATCAATCTTGAAGCTATTTTTTTGGCACTCTACAAGTCGATAGATCTGAGCCATATGACTTTGTTTTGGAGATCGCTCTGTAGAGTTAGTCATGATATTGAGAACTGCTTGTAACATTGTGCTATACATATTGCCTCTTCCCGAGCAAATAAGCATCTTAGTTATAGTTCTATTTTAAACCCTATTCTAAAGGAGAATCAAAAACCAAAATTTTGGTTATATTTTATGAGAAAAAAAATGATATTCAAAGACCTTTTGAGAACATCAATGACATACTGAGAACCTTAATATTTTAAAATTAAAAACAAAGGCATTAACATCGTTGTAATGTTTTTGGGTTAATATTTTAATACTTGCTTTGAAGCCCACTTGTTTTGTCAAACAATTCTTCCTTTTATTGAGCTTCTAAATTTACACCATTCTGTTCGTTCAATTTTTACAAAAGAAAATTATTAGGGACTGAATTTATATGAACCTTAAAAGACCTAGGTCTACAGAGTTTGGACTGGAGGATTCTTGTTTGGACTGGACTGCAAATAAGAAATCATGTTATGGATTTTAAATAAGGTTTTGTTATTAAGCTTCAAGACATTAAATTTATAAAAAATTTTGTCTATATTTTTTTCACTTAGTCCAACAGCTTTCGATCTGAAAATTTTTCCACGCATTCAAATTGTTAGCATTAGTTAATGTTGCACGTTGTCCTTGGACAAAATGATGAAGGAAATTAAAATTAAAATTAAAAGCCATTAAAAACGATAAATGAAGAGCAGCAGAGAGAGGGAGACAATTAAAGCGCAATGACATCCATTAGAAGCAGATAAAGAGGAGGTATAAGCAGGGGCCATCAATTTTTTTTTTTTTCAGAGTTCGGGCCTTCAACAAAGGCCCCAGAAAGATTTCTATAAAACTAATGCAACAACTGAACTATTGGGCCGATTTATTGCTCCCTGGATAAACCATGTGCAAGTCTTATCCCCCTCAATTCGCATCAGACTAAACGACTCCCACACCACTGGGTTCTGCTGCCTCCTTGTCATCACGTGCAAGTGTGGGCCACTTAGGTCCTGGCTCAGGAGGCTCCATCACATAGACATTACCATCTGAAAGCCCCCAGCAAACTGGCCTGCCGTCACGGGATTTGCCGCCATAGCAAGTAGGGATATGCTCTCACTGCAACCACCAAATACATTGTATTAATATCAATGCACAAAGTCCTAGAATACTTGGCAATCTATCCTGAATCGTGATGATTGTGGTACTGTAATGCAAATATCACTTTTGGCTTATCTCGAGATTTTGACCAGACTGGGGAATGGCATACCTTGAAGTGTGGGGCAGGTAAGCAGTGGGATCTATCTTGCAAAGAGGCTGAAGATTTAAACCATCAAATATGGTGATAGTCCCATCCACAAAATCCGGCATATATGTCCGTTCCATCAGATGAGAAAACTGCCTGGGAGATAACCAAAGGGAGTACCGGAACCCACTGCTATGAAACAAGAGCCATATTTAGTCATTTCATAACATCCATGAAGAAAAGTTCATCATATAGGACGGGAAGTATAAGGAACCTGTTTGATACAAGTTAATTCCTGTGCTTCATAAATTGCAAGATGGCTATCTTGTACAACGAGGAAGTTTATCTGTTCCGGGTGAAACTGAATGTGAGTATCAGATGGCACTTCTGGCTTCCTTTGAGCAGGTATCTGCAAGTTCCTTCCTTTCACTTTTTCCCAGCCTTCGATATTCCATAAGCAAATCTGCAAGAAGTCGAAAAGGTAAGAAGTTCATATTCCTGGCCCTTTTTGGCTAGTCATTCCATAATGCCTTTGAACTATTAAAATGAGACAAAGTAGCCAAAGGAAACAGATCCATGTTGGTCAGGAGGGGAAAAAAAAAACATGGGAGCTAGTTCAGAAGTAGTAGCAGTCATATGGTGACAATTGTATTGAGTATTGAACACCAACCTGATTATTAACCTCAGCAGAAACAAGAACATGTAAAGTGTTTGAGAAGGCAAGAGAAGTGACTCTTGTTGAGTGACCTTTGAGCTTTCTGATAACCTGCATATACACGAGTCACGGACAACTGGCTTCAATTTCCTCTGATCACGGGGCGGTGCACGTCTTTCTCTAATCAAGCAAAAGCCACATACCTTGCATGTACGGACGTTATAAATAAAGATGCTAGAATCATCAAAGCCAATAGCAAGCACATTATTATCTTGAGGGTAGAAGGAAATAGATGTCGCCTTAGGTGGTGGGGACATGAAAGTTGTCATAGT